AGCAGCCTCAATCGTCTTCACAGCTTATCTCAACTGTGTTCGATAGGGTTTAAGTCTGGGGAACAGTACGACACTAATCCATGAAATCAGCATCGTCGTTGGGTGAAACGTTGCGCGTTGGGACTGCAGTTTGCGGAGTAACATCGTCATGCTGAAATGTTCATTCCAGGACCATGCAGCTGAATGTTTGGCTGAAGGGCTGCGGTCAAAACGTGGTCCCGATAGTGTCGGGCAGTTGGATTCCCTGGACGATAATCCATTTAGATCGACGATTGACACAAAATGCTCACCGAGCCCTTAAAAGCCCCCTTTACACAGGACGGCGACCACTCCTGTTCATAACGCCACTGAACGCTCAAAGGATGCACGACGAACGCAGAGAGAAGGCAGAGTCATCGTAATGAAGGCAGAAAGAAGGCAGAGCCAACGCTAAGAACGGCTCAGAACGCCACTGTAATGGCGACTGTATTGAACATGCTCAAAACAAACGCAGAGCGGTCGCCGTCATGGTGGATTGATAACAAGACTCAGAGGGAAGGCAAAGGAAAGGCAGAGCCATGGCTGAGGTCGCAGAGTGAAGGCACAACGGTCGGCGAAAGGACGCCACTTAAAAACTTCGTAAACTGCGGCCTTCTCACTGCCTTCTTTGTGCGTCCGTCGAGCATCATTAGCGTTCGTTGAGCATTCACTCTGCCTTCATTCAGCGACTAGCGTATCCCTTTGAACAACCACGGCGTTTGCTCTGCCTTTACTCTGCCTCCCCTCTGCCTTTCCAGATTACATATTAATAGGTCTCGTACTGGCGATTTCCACGTTATTTGAGAACTGCCGAGCTTGCGATCAGACGTCTCACCATGCCTCCAAGAAGGTATTGCTACTAGACGAAAGGCCAAAACCCAAAAGAGTGCCTCAAAAATTACTGAAAACATTGGTCAACAGGAAAATGTTACTGCTGACATGTTTTTTTAAAGATATGAACAAAATTGAAGACAAACAATATGCACATATTGATACTATATTTGGAAATCCAGATATCCATAATGAACTCATAAGACTAATGTAGAATAATGATAGCAATATGAACATCATCAAACAATTCCATCCGCATAGCAATTCAGTTCCATACACAACACTTCAAATCATACGAGCCTGCCATGGAACTGATCCAGCTGCATTGTTGAAGTACAACTTCAGATACTCTCGCAACTGTTTTCCTGCTCGTGTGTCTCGGTTTGGTCCAACTACTTGTGCAGAATCATGCAAATTTGCTTGTTGTCTCCATTCTCCAGGTATGATGAGGTCGTGGTTATCATCTTTAGTGTCGAGTGCAGCATTCTGTAGTGTTGGATATCGGTCTCTGTATTGTGAAGACAAATGCATGCTTCAACCACATCCTGGACTGAATTAGGCATCAGCTGCGTCGTTGAAAGTAGTTGAAAATATGAACGTCGCATTTCTACTACCAACGTAAGTTTAGATCAGTACATCCGGATGAAGCTGACTAGTCAAGCCACATTCCACGGATGTATTGTGGGATTGTAAACATTGCGAAAGTTACCGTGTGGCTGTAAAACTTTGAGTCGAACTGAGACATTTATCCGTCGGAACAGAATTTGGTAGCAGATGCCCATCGTAGTGGGCGACCTCGAGCGACCACTGCGGCGCAGGATCGCTACATCCGGGTACATGACCTGCGTCATCGAACAGCTACGGCGACCAGTACCGCTCGACAAATACCCGGATTGAGGAGGCTTTCGGCACAGATCGTCAGGAACAGGTTGCGAGAGGCTTCTTTACGTGCCAGAAGACCTTATTTTGGCCCTGTGCTTCGACAACAACATCGTCGACATCGAGTTCAATGGTGCATCAACGTTCAGGCCTGGAACCTACCGAATTGACGTAGAATCTGGTTCAGTGATGAATCACGATTCTATTGGAACGACGCGATGGACGAATGCGGGTGTACAGACGTCGACGTGAACGTTTCACCGACGCTTGCGTTCCCCAGGTGGACAGATTCGTCCGGGGCAGTGTTATGATGTGGGGAGGGATCACCTGCCTAGGAGAAGTAATTTGGTGATGATCCAGGGCAACCTGACAGCTCAACGGTACTGTTACGAAATCCTACGCCCACACCTCCTTCCAATCATTGATCGCCAGAGGGAGTTGTTTCAACAGGACAATGCCAGGCCCCACACAGCACGTCACACTAGAGACTTCCTCCAGAACCACAACATCAATGTGCTCCCCTGGCCCTCAAGATCACCGGACTTAAACCCGATCGAACATCTGTGGGATGCCCTGGACAGACGGGTGCGACGCCGTAACCCTCAGCCCTAGACACTTCAGCAACTCTCACAGGCACTACAGGCACAGTGAGCTGCGATTGGGCAACACGAGATTCTGAGACTTATTCGTTCGATGCCGTGCAGTTCTGGATGCCCATGGTGGTCAAACGAGGTATTGACTTCAGCGCCACCACACGTCTCAATGTGACACTCAAACTGACTTTCCTCGAGTTGGTGCCAAAGACGGATAAGTCTGCATTCCCAGAGTGCAATTTCGCTATATTTCATTGACTCATATCGCCTACAAGATGTTTTAAAATAAGCACAAAAATACAGTTGGAATTCCTATATGCGTTTCTTTTTTGGGAGAGTATATGTTCAAGTTTTCATCACCAACTATGAATAGCGCTGTGGGAGGAAATCTGTAAATAAATACGGGAACACTGCCATGAAGTGGTGTTCCCTAATTTGTTTCCCTCAGTATATTAAACATGTCTGTTGGTGTAACGTTTAGAACGGGTTAGAACCGATCTTCAGTAACCCATTCTTGTCTCCCCCGGGAAGACCCGGGTTGGAATTGATCGTCAGCAACCCATTCTTGTCTTTCTCGTGAAGATCCGGGTTACAATTGATCTTCAGCAACCCATTCCTGTCTTCCCTTGGAAGATCCGGGTTAGAATTGATCTTCAACAACCCATTCTTGTCTTTTTCGTGAAGATCCGGGTTACAATTAATCTTCAGCAACCCATTCCTGTCTTCCCCGGGAAGATCCGGGTTAGAATTGATCTTCAGCAACCCATTTTTGTGTTCCTCGTGAAGATGCGGATTAGATTTTGTCTTCATGAACCCATGCCTGTCGTAAGAGGTGACTAACGGGATTGGGTGGTCAGGCTCGCTGACTGGGCTGACACATGTCATCGTATCCCAATTGCGCAGATCAATGCTCATGCTGTTGATCACTGGATTGTCTGGTCCAGACTCGATTATTTATAGACCGCCGTCATATATCTGGAAAACTGTCGAGTGCGGCGTTAAACAACAACCAACCTTGTGAAGTTTAGGGAAAAATTGTTTGATTATACATGTTATTGGTTTGTCTTAGTTATGGGGATATAACACTATGTGGAACCATGGTCATGTCTCCCATCAAAGTTTTCTTGAATGTATTATATTAGAATGGAGTGAGTGAGTGAGTGACTTGAGGTTTACGCCGCACTGAGCAATATTCCTGCTATATGGCGGCGGTCTGAAAATCAGCAGCGGTGGTTGAATTGTCTTCACAATTTATCATGGACAATACATATCAACATCAAAAGCTGAAGTGTGTATTTCTTCGAGCTCATCATTGTATTATAATGATGCTGTTGCTATATTTCAACGTAAGAAGGTAGAAAGGGGATGAACATCTTTATTTCATACATTTAACGACGAGAACATTATTTGGGCTCTGTTTTCAACTTCTCAGCTTTCATTACCGTTACACGTTGAAAAATATTTCAGCTAAGTTCTCGATTCAAAATGAGAAAACCAAACGAAAACTGAGGAATGTCTACTAGATGGCTGAAACTGGGCTAAACAAGATCACTCTCCCTTTCAAATGATCATCCATCCCCTTGAAGCGACAGACAGACGCTGATTTTGATTTCTGTCGTAAAACATGTACCCTCGGTCGGAATGCGCAGTATTTAGATATCACATGATTAGAATAAACTGTAAACATCAAGTCCTTAACTACCGCAATCTGAAAAGCGACGATCTGAATGGTCGAATGGAAATCCGAAATAGGATATACTCAGAGTATCGAAAAATGTTCGAGTGTTAAGGTCAGGCATCAATATGATTGTAAACCTTTATAAAGAAGGAACCCTTGTATTCATCTTGAGATGAAATAGAAACACATTTTATGATTGAAAATTACTTCTGAAAGACGGAAACAAACACCTAATGACATAAAAGAACTGTAATCACATTTAAAGTAGTGTTGAGAAGTATCCTTCACAAGAGACAGTTTCTGGATGTAGCACGGGACATAAAGGGTGTGGGCATCTTGTCTTCACACGGAACAATGTCAGGGTGTAACACACGGCACAGTGGGTGACGGTATCTTGTCTTCACACATAACAATGTCAGGGTGTAACACAGGGCACAGTGGGTGAGTGTATCTTGTCTTCACACATAACAATGTCAGGGTGTAACACACGGCACAGTGGGTGACGGTATCTTGTCTTCACACATAACAATATCAGGGTGTAACACACGGCACAGTGGGTGACGGTATCTTGTGTTCACACATAACAATGTCAGGGTGTAACACACGACACAGTGGGTGACGGTATCTTGTCTTCACACATAACAATGTCAGGGTGTAACACACGGCACAGTGAGTGGCGGTATCTTGTCTTCACACATAACAATGTCAGGGTGTAACACACGGCACAGTGGGTGACGGTATCTTGTCTTCACACATAACAATGTCAGGGTGTAACACACGGCACATTGAGCGGCGGTATCTTGTCTTCACACATAACAATATCAGGGTGTAACACACGGCACAGTGGGTGACGGTATCTTGTCTTCACACATAACAATGTCAGGGTGTAACACACGGAACAGTGAGTGAGCGTATCTTGTCTTCACACATAACAATATCAGGGTTTAACACACGGCACAGTGGGTGAGTGTATCTTGTCTTCACACGGAACAATGTCAGGGTGTAACACACGGCACATTGAGCGGCGGTATCTTGTCTTCACACATAACAATATCAGGGTGTAACACACGGCACAGTGGGTGACGGTATCTTGTCTTCACACATAACAATGACAGGGTGTACCACACGGAACAGTGAGTGAGCGTATCTTGTCTTCACACATAACAATATCAGGGTGCAACACAGACTATATTGAAGTGTATCTGGTCATTATAAGGTTGTGTGTGTAATGAGTATTAATGTTACGTTATTCATATGTGGATCACACCATGGCTACTAAACGGGTGAAAGAAACTTCACGATTTTTTAAATCTTTTATCGTACAGTAAGTGATTATTCATATCTGTAGTTCACACTTTCATCATTCAGAATGTTGTAAATCCATTAATCTTCCACAAATGATTGTTAAATTTCCATAATGTGAGTTTATTGTTTTGTGTTAAAAAAATCGAGGTGACGTTTCTTTCCCCCGTGAGTTTATAACTCTTGTAATGAACCGATCAGCAAAGTCAACTTCAAGCACATTTATGCAAATGTTTCACGGAAAGTTCCCCAGTTCCGTCTCTTGCCTTTAATTTCTGAGGCACATATACAGAACCGTCAAACAACCTGATATATGGTCATCCTCCACGGTCCTCCACACATCTCGGTGTTGTCCCCTGCGCAGGGATAGTTGCACTCGTTGTCGGGCACCTTCTTGAAGCCACTCTTGATCATGTTACCGCAGTAACATTCCGTTCCCACCTTTAAAACAAAACATGCCAATATTCGCGCAGCTGTTTCTTGGCATTGGACATTTTTGTTTTCTAATCCATTTTGGCATTTGTTTTCTTTCCATTGCATTATGGTATTTTCTGGTTTGTAGTTCCTATTAAACTGACTGAGAACCCTATGTATGTCCATGTAGCCTTTACTGCAGATATGTTACATACCAATTAGTCGTTTCCATATTCTAATGCACGGTCCGGTGCAGTTTCTGTAATACGGAATGAGTTAATATTTAACGTCACATCGGCAATATTTCAGCCATATCGTGACTAATACGGAATGAGTTGACCTTACTTCTGTATAGCCAAAACTACATCCTTTCCCAGACATGGGTTGAAGAATATGGCAATGTAAACTGTTTGAGAAAACAGCTGGAACAGTTGTTTCAAACACACAGATTGTTTGCATGGGTACATGGAGATGAATTGAGAAGAGTAAAATATACGGGAAGAGAAACTGATGTTAAATATTAAATGCATAAAGAAGGATATAGGATTCCAAAGTTTGCTATATACTAAGTAAGTAAGTATAATTCCCTCCCACCTATATCAATAACGGATGTGCCAAAATAACAGTATTAGTTAAGCTGGCTACTTGCCAGGTAGGACGGGCTGATACGGAGTCAAACGGGACGTACCATCCCATACCACCAGCCAAATCATCATTTTTTGCACACCTGCCCACTGTCTCGCATTTGGCGTGAAAAGAACTCATGTTCATACAAAATCACGCTCTCACGACAACACAATAAAAGCTCACGCAAATCTAAAATTTATTATTTACCTCTATTCACCGATCTCTACAAATGTCCAAAAAGTGCTGAATTGTGTTTGGGCTTGGGAGCCACACACACTCACTCACGCACGAACGCTCGCGACACACACACACACAGAGACAGACAGACACCACCACCCGAGACCCCCTGCCAGGACGCTATCCTGGACCTGTCCAGGCTTTGAGAAAATCCCACTCATTAGAAACATATTAGGTTGTCAGCCAATGGCCGAGTCACGATTTTATCAGCCTTTGGTTGTTTAGGTCCCAAAGTGTCACATACAGATATTCTTGAAACGTTGTTCTTGGTTATTAACCAATGAAAGGTATTTTCATATACCTAAAGGGTTATGTAACATATCATTAAACTGCTCAAAGCAAAGAACACCTAAGTTCTGAAATACAGCCCTTAATACCTACCGAAAGTCCGAAGAAGGAGTATCCATACTGGGTGCAGTGAAATCGACACATGTCAATCGTCATGCTTGTGATGTTTAGCATGTATTCGTGAGGAAGGACACGATTTCTGTCATCATGGTAGCAACCTCTATATACAGGACCTACATGGTAAACGTAATACATCAACCTCTATAAACAGGACCTACATGGTAAACGTAACACATAAACCTCTATATACAGGACATACATGGTAAACGTAATACATCAACCTCTGTATACAGGACCTACATGGTAAACGTAATACATAAACCTCTATATACAGGACATACATGGTAAACGTAACACATAAACCTCTATATACAGGACATACATGGTAAACGTAATACATCAACCTCTGTATACAGGACCTACATGGTAAACGTAATACATCAATCTCTATATACAGGACCCACTTGGTGAACATAATACATTAACCTCTATATACAGGACCTATGTGGTAAACGTAATACATCAACCTCTATATACAGGATCTACATGGTAAACGTAATACATCAACCTCTATATACAGGACTTATGTGGTAAAAGTAATACATCAACCTCTATATACAGGACCTAAGTGGTAAAAGTAATACATCAACCTCTATATACAGGACATATGTGGTAAACGTAATACATCAACCTCTATATACAGGATCTACGGGGTAAACGTAATACATCAACCTCTATATACAGGACCTACATGGTAAACGTAATACATCAAACCTCTATATACAGGACCTACATGGTAAACGTAATATATCAACCTCTATATACAGGACATACATGGTAAACATAATACATCAACCTCTACATACAGGACGTTCATGGTAAACGTAATACACCAACCTCTATATACAGGACCTACGTGGTGAAAGTAATACATCAACCTCTACATACAGCACTAACATGGTAAACGTAATACATCAACCTCTATATACAGGACCTACCAGACAAACATTTCTGGCTCACATAGCAGCCCCTGTAAACAGGACCTACATGACAAACATTACTGGCTCACATAGCAGCCCCTGTAAACAGGACCTACCAGACAAACATTACTGGCTCACATAGCAACCCCTGTAAACAGGACCTACCAGACAAACATTACTGGCTCACATAGCAGCCCCTGTAAACAGGACCTACCAGACAAACATTACTGGCTCACATAGCAGCCTGTAAACAGGACCTACCAGACAAACATTACTGGCTCACATAGCAACCCCTGTAAACAGGACCTACCAGACAAACATTACTGGCTCACATAGCAACCCCCTGTAAACAGGACCTACCAGACAAACATTACTGGCTCACATAGCAGCCCCTGTAAACAGGACCTACCAGACAAACATTACTGGCTCACATAGCAGCCCCTGTAAACAGGACCTACCAGACAAACATTACTGGCTCACATAGCAGCCCCTGTAAACAGGACCTACCAGACAAACATTACTGGCTCACATAGCAACCCCTGTAAACAGGACCTACCAGACAAACATTACTGGCTCACATAGCAGCCCCTGTAAACAGGACCTACCAGACAAACATTACTGGCTCACATAGCAGCCCCTGTAAACAGGACCTACCAGACAAACATTACTGGCTCACATAGCAACCCCTGTAAACAGGACCTACCAGACAAACATTACTGGCTCACATAGCAGCCCCTGTAAACAGGACCTACCAGACAAACATTACTGGCTCACATAGCAACCCCTGTAAACAGGACCTACCAGACAAACATTACTGGCTCACATAGCAGCCCCTGTAAACAGGACCTACCAGACAAACATTACTGGCTCACATAGCAGCCCCTGTAAACAGGACCTACCAGACAAACATTACTGGCTCACATAGCAGCCCCTGTAAACAGGACCTACCAGACAAACATTACTGGCTCACATACATGTATGTGTTGTCCTGTGCATGGAGCTTAGGTCACAAATCAGGTGAATTTGTTGGGCGCGGAGAGTCCTTGGATGGGTGACCGTGTTTGACAGTTTGACTCCTGAGAGTTTCCAGGACTTCAGTCCTGCCCACAAAGAAGCACATGTGAAACATGTGGTCTCACCTTAGGTGCATTACATACGTAATGTGCTGAGTCTAGATTACAGGGAAGAGGGGCAGGAGCTTCATGAATACACCCATTACCTGTGGTGGTCGGAGTCGTTGTCTCCTCTGCAGGCGTGGTTGTCTCTTGTGCGTTTTCTGACGTTGTCTGCAAAATATGTAACATAATTTCATTTTTACGTAATCAGAAAATTATTATATAAAGATTAATTAAATAATATGCATGGTCGCCTATTTCCCGATAACAGTGGCTTATCACCCGGTAACAGGGGAAATGCCTCCGTTTTCGAAGCTCCATATGAACAACACTCTAGAAGATTCATTTGATCTCGGGTTCCAAAGCTCTAATCATCAATACTATCACAGTAACCTTGCCAGGAGTATTTTCGCAGCGGTAAGAAGCGATTTTATTGGATAAAGATTAGTTCCTAATGACGCTTTTTCTGATATTGCAAATCCACGAATATATTCGAAACACCACTTGTCATTTACAGTGAGTGAATGAGTTTAGTTTTACGCCGCACTCAGCAATATTTCAGCTATATGGCGGTGGTCTGTGAATAATCGAGTCTGGACCAGAAAATCCAGTTATCAACAACATGAGCATCGATTTGCGCACTTGGGAACAGATGACATTGTCATTTACAGGAGGTGGTGGAGTAGCCTCACGGTTAAAGCGCTCGCTCGTCACACCGAGACCCGAATTCGATCCCACACATAGTACAATGTGTGAAGACCATGTTATTAGTCACCCGCCGCCATATTGCTGGAATATTGCTAAAAGCGGCGCAAAACCACACCCGCTCCACATTTAGAGTACCTGATGGTCGATGTTCTCCAACATCTGCCGACACTCAGCTAGAAGGTCCTTCCACTTGTCTGCAGTGCAGCTGGCAGCGTCGGAACACGTACAGACAAACGTTCGCGACGTTGGGGTATTCTTTGTAAGAACAGCTTGACTCAACAGATTTCCCTGACAGTAACCCAGAGTCAGAACGTTGTAGACGGTAACAACACTTACTATCAGTTTCATCTTGTTCACGTTTTCCTCCGATAATGAAACCAAAGGGTGAAACTTCACGCTTATAACACAATGACGTTGCTGGCAGTTGCCAACAACAGAAATGTAAGAATGGTTTCGATGTCTTTATCATCAGTTATATATGATTTTCACACATGCAATCGATATCGAGGCACTCTAACAAATGATATCTGGGGTGCACATGTCAACCGTGTTGATTAAAATGAATACATTATGTCCAAAGCACAATGCTTGTTAAAATGGCTGATGCTGCATGACTAATTAGAATGAAATCAGTTGAGTAAACGTTGTATGGGGTCCGTAGGTGTTGAAGTAACTTGGTCTTGACAGCAGATGTTGAAAATGTGTCCATAAAGCGTGAAACACAACAATAAAGTGGGTCGATTTGTTTGTTTGTTGTTTAACGCCGCACTCAGCAATATTCCAGCTATATGGTGGCGGTCTGTAAATAATCGAGTCTGGACCAGACAATCCAGTGATCAACAGCATGAGCATCGACACAACTGGGATACGATGATATGTGTCAACCACGTCTACGAGCCTGACCACCCGATCCTGTTAGTCGCCTCTTACGACAAACATTGGTGAATGACGACCATTTTCTAAACCTGATCTTCACGGGTAGCCTTGCTCCAAGGTTGTAGTGAATGCTGAGCCCATGGATGTATAGTAATTCTATCCTTCGAAGAGGCAAGTCTAGATAGGCGGACAGTACATCTAAGGACCCCGGCCTGTTGTTTATTTTTCGTGTTTTTAGAGGTTATCATTTAAACTATTAATTTTGACCTTAGAGACTTGTGCAAGTCTACTTCACAAGTAACGTGCAGCGAATCACGTGATCGCCTTTGGGGTCGACGTGCTTTGGAATGCCCGACCTATTGTTTTGTGTGCCGTGTAACTGTACCTCTCCCCTGGCAATGGAATCGTCTGACCTACTTATTTTCATTAGTAGTTGTTGCGCAACAGTTTGTAATGGCGGGCGAGCCAATGTTTACATTTGGGAAAGGGTGAAAGTTGAAGTCACAGTGGAGAAAATACTTTACTGACTGTCGAATCTGAACCCTGCAGAATCGAAGATTAGATCCTTTTCTGATCGACCAACAAATCAGTGTGGTAACTCATCAAACTAGTCAAAGACTGTTGATTTTTATGACCGTCGAGTTTCGATCATGATTTCACGTACGTGCCTCCACCCAGGCATGCGACGAAAGAGTGACAGTGCTGGCCCAACGTAATGATTTGTGTACATGCGACTAACTTGGGATTGATGGAAATTGTATTCATCACTTGGAACAGGATTGTAGCCAAGATATTTTCAAAGTGTACGAACATAGATCACCAGCAGTGACACCCTTGCTGGGAAGCTGACACAGAGCAGAATTCTGGTAGTTTAATTTCTGACATGTATTTTTTGAACGATGCAACAGGACATGATGGAGTATGAGTGGTATAAATGTGGTGTTTCGCCTGACCGTTATCTTGCGAATTTATATACCATTTACCAGGTAGGCAAATATTTATTTGCGTTTTGCTGCAAATTTTAGATAAATAGGGATGTACTTGTACAAGGCTTTCTGATTTATAAGTTAGATATTGTTTGGTTTTGTTTGGGGCTGTGCATTGTAATTGAGTTTGAATATTTTGATAATAGAATGTAATGTGATAGTGAGGTTCCCAAAAGATTGTGGAGGACAAACCATATAATTGTATTTTTGGAGTTGAATGAATGTTTTATAAACATTTCCATCACGTCTGTTGCTTGATATTAGCCATGTTGGTGGTCAAGCTGAAGTAGCGCGGCAGTGTTGGATACGTGTGCAGTGAAGCGGTCATGAAATCAGACGCATTGTCAATCCAGGATTGATAGTGTCTAATTTTATTGATTGTCGAATCAAATTCGCGTATTTCACGTAGTCATGGTAGAATAAAACAATTTCATCGTGCTTAATGATTATGATGGAGATAGACATTCCCAAAACTAACCAGACGCCATCAAACGTGATTGTCTTTATCACTTTATTGTTTCGTCTGTCAGTGGTTATAGATTGGGGAAAATAGAAAGAATTGACCTTCGTGAAGATGGCCCTTGGACACTTGCTTATGATGTAACATTTTCTTTTCAAAATTAGGCTGCTTGGTCATACGTATCTGACCCTTGCGACGTCGTGCGATTCATGAATGCGCCCAATAATATCTATGAGCTGTGTATGTTATGTAGATGTTGTACCCCTAATTGCCTCTGATAGCACAAAGAAGAGCGCACGAGTGAGTTAGTGAGCCCGAAATGAGCTTTACACATTGTACCCATGTGTGGAATCGAACCCGGGTCTTCAGCGGGACGAGCGGACGTTTTAACCATAAGGCTACCCCACCGCCCCGAACAGCCCACAAACACTAACACATGCACGTGGACGAACGCAACTAAACATGCACGAACACGCACACGTTCAGGAACACAGACGCACGACCACGAACTCAAACACACGATCTAACACATGTACAGGAAATAACAAAGACGACAAGCGCGAACACGCACTTACTAAACCCATATCCATGAACACAAACTCAGCGCAAGAACGTAAACACACATTGTACCCAAGTGGGGAATCGAACCAGGGTCTTCGGCGTGACGACCCAACGCGTTAACCACTTGGCTACTACACCGCACTATTGTACATGAACAAGAAAATAATGGTGGAACGTATCTCTCGAGTGTATGATAAATGACAAGCCAAGAAATGAGTGTATAAGTTTTAATGACATAAATATATTTCACTAATAATATAATTAGGTGTTGTGCTAACTTACGTAGCTGAGTGAGTGATTGCGACAGGTTGTACATTCAAGTGAAGCGGGAGTAAAAAAACTCTATTGCGCAACGCTAAGCGAATGGTATTTTATCAACTCTATTTCTTACATCAAGTTGACAAAAACTACTTTTCCAACGCTTCACTACAATGTAAAAGAAGAAGATAATTCGAGAACGATGCAGAGTCAGTAGCAATGGAAAGACAAATGACTAAGGCGATACTGAGTGAGAGAGAGAATATTAATCGGATGTCTCTGGACATGAGGGTCCGGGTTAGAATTGATCTTCAGTAACCAATGTTTGTCATATGGTGGCCAGGCTCGCTGACTTGGTTGACATATGTCATCGTATCCAAATTGCGTAGATAGATGCTCATGCTGTTAATCACTGGATTGTCTGGTCCAGACGCGATTATTTCGAGACCGCAGCCATATAGCTGGAATATTGCTGAGTGCGGCGTAAAAGTAAACTCACTCACTTCTAGCTACTAAAATACAAGGGGTCTGAGTGATGGTTGTTACTCCCTGGGGAACATATTTCAGCTGATAATCGAGATTGGTGTTGGGTACATGGAGTAAAAACTGACTGTGTTGTGTTCCACTCGGCGTTTAAAAGTTCTTTTAATTCAGGAAACAGGTAGTTGACGGAGGATGCAGGCAGTTTTTCTTGTTATCATTCCACAGTAAACCAGCGGGGCATGGACTGTGGTATTTGTTTCCATTAGTGCATACCACGAAGCCGTCGCACCGTTCACACGACTGGTAGTTCCCATTGCCCAGACCAGTGCAGTCCGAGACACAGGATGCTGGAATGAGATGGACATGAGATGCATGAGATGGACATCCAAAACGAAGTACTGGGAAGGTTATGCTTCTAGAAATTGGATTCACACATCTTGCCCATGTGGGGAATCGAACCCGGGTCCTTCAAAGCTTGGGTCTCTGGTCAATGCATGGAACCATCGACAGACTCAAACTCATGCTCTTCGGCAGGCTATGTCGCGCAGATACTGGAAGCACCCACAAAAGAGTACTCCTGTATATAATAGGACAGTTTATTACTGATAACACGTGTGATGTCTGGTTAACCCATGATCTTCTGAAAATTGTTCAAAAGTACGATCTCTGGTCGCATGTGAGTGAATTTATGAAGACTGGTAACTTTCCGTGCAAACTGGAATGGAGTAGAACTATAAATAGAAAAGTAGCCGAGGCAGAATATTATAACTGGCAAATTACACTCACTCAGACACCAGAAATGAGCCGTTATGCCAACATTCACAGTGCTCTAGCCCCACATAGACTGTGGGGAATGTGTGAACTGTACCCAATCTCAACCAGACCTATGTACAGTCTAGTTAAACTTGGTGTATTACCTGTGGGATGTGCCTACTCTGTGACACCGAGTGTGATGATATAGTCAAACACCAACTCTTATACTGCTGCAGTTTATTCTCTAAGCGTAATGCGCTTAGTGAACGTTTGTTTGACAATATGACCATTGAAAGTTATATACAATTCGAGGATTGTGATGACAGTGAACTCAAGATTACCACCCTCCTAGGTGGAATCACACCACTCATTGAAAACATGTCACTGAATGAGTGGGCTGTATTTATTGACATTACAGCAAAAAGCATCAGCTCCTGGAACCTCAAAGCCCTGCTGTATCTGTAAAGCTGAGATTATGTCAGAGGCTATGCCAGAGACTATGTTTGAATATGTAAATATGTTTAGTATTATTTCCTAAGATGTTTTCATACATGTACTCTCCGTCTTAATGGAGGAAATAAAGCAGATTCATTCATTCATTCATTCATTCATTCATTCATGGTAAACGTAATACATCAACCTCTATATACAGGACCTACATGGTAAACGTAATACATCAACCTCTATATACAGGACCTACATGGCAAACGTAATACATCAACCTCTATATACAGGACCTACATGGTAAACGTAATACATGTTCACTGATCAGCTCAGTACATACAGGACCTACAAGACAACCATTACACATTACTGGTTCACACAGCGACCCTATATCCATGACATACAAGACAAACATTAAAATTACTGGTTCACACAGCAGACCCTATATACAGGACCTACAAGACAAATATCAGAAATTACTGGTCCACACAGCAGCCCTATGCATAGGACCTACAAGACAAACATTAGACATTTTAGGTTCATACAGCAGCCCTATATACAGGACCTACATGACAACCATTAGACACTACTTGTTCACACAACAGACCCTATATACAGGACCTAGAAGACAACCATTAGACATTACTGGTTCACACAGTAGACCCTATATACAGGACCTAGAAGACAAACATTAGACATTACAGGTTTACACAGGAGTCCCGATAAATACCGGACCTACAAGACAAACATTAGACACCACTGGTTCACACTGCAGCCCCTATATACCGGACCTACGATACAAACATTAGACATTACTGGTGGCTACAGCAGACCCTATATGCAGGACCTACAAGACAAACATCAGACATTACTGGTTCACACAGCAGACCCTATATACAGGACCTACAAGACAAACATCAGACATTACTGGTTCACACAGCAGACCCTATATGCAGGAGCTACAATACAACCATCAGACATTACTGGTTCATACAGCAGCCCCTTTTTTACAGAACACACAAGACAAAAGTCAGACATTATTGGTTTTTATCATCACATATGAAACTACGTATGGTTCCATTGATAGATTGAAAAACTCGAGGGCACCTGTCGAGGATAATATTTATAATAATTCCTGAGATGTTTTAGACAATCCATGGATGTATAAGTACCACATATAAAATAGTCCATTGATGCATTATTTGATGCTTCTCATTTTTCAGTTATATGGAATACCAGCATAAATGCAACAGTTTTCAGAAAAGAGAGGCAATGAACTTATAGGTATACGCAAAGCTACGTCACCACCTGACAGTTGCCATGTAGAGTTGCACGTCACCTTGTTGTTAATGTGACATAAACATAGTCAGGCGATAACAACTCATTAACATAACGGATGTACTGTCAATACTAACCCGTGAAGGTCCGGATAGAATGTACCTTCAGTATCCCATGCTTGTCGTAAGAGGCGACTAACGGGATTGGGTGGTCATGCTCGCTGGCTTGGTTGACACTGTTCCGAATTGAGCAGAGCGATGCTCATGCCGTTGATCACTGGATTGTCTGGTCCAGACTCGATTATTTACAGCCCGCTACCATATAGCTGGAATATTGTTAAGTGCGGAGTAAAACTAAACTCACTCACTCATTTGTCAAACACATAACACCGCTCGAAAATATCCGATAATACTAACAGTACGCTGAAAATGGTACCAGTACCACTCCCTACTAACAACGTTACTTAACATTCTGTCAATTATAGGCTTCCGCATAAACACAATATATCCTATGATCCGCTAGTTCATTTAACTGTTAAAGTGTCAAATTAAGCGTTGCTTTAAAACGGCGAAGTCCTGTAACGAAGTTATAGATAAAGGCATTTATGATTCGGACCCCCAATCAATGGATTCTTGATGGTCAAATGTGGCAAGTCTATCCGTTACTTACCGTACACTGGATACTTCTAGGGAGCTTCTTGATTAGTCAGAATGAGTGAGTGAGTGAGTTTAGTTTTACGCTGCACTCAGCAATATTCCAACTATATGGCGGCGGTCTCTAGGTAATCGAGTCTGGACGAGACAATCCAGTGATGAACAGCATGAGCATCGATCTTGATTAGTCAGAAACTGAATATGTTATTGTTCAGTGTCGATAGACACATTCTCGTCTTTTGAAAATGGGGCGGTTCTGTAAATAGTGCTTGCTTGATGTTTAACAGCTCATTTGTTTTATGATAAGAAACATTCGGATCACGTGGTTATCACAGTTGCAGAACTCTCTGATAGTGTACTCAGACAGATTGACTCCCCTGGCTTCGAACTGGAAACCACTTGTCTACTTCGTCAAAGCTCGATCATTAAGGAGGCTGTGTGGTAGCCCACGCCGAGGACCTGGTTCCATTCCCCATATGGGCACAATGTGTGAAACCCACTTCTGGTGTCCCCCCGCCGTGATATTGCTGAAATATTGCTAAAAGCGGCGTAAAGCTAAAGTTTCTCACTTACTCACCCTTTTGAAAATATTATCCAAGCATTGTATTTTTAGGATACAAAGTAAACAATCTGTTTTGGTGAGGATCTATTTAAGAACACTTCCCGAAATCTCTTCTACCTAAGTCCACCCAAACAAACACCCTAATAACAAGTCAATATTCACCGTTGCCTGTCCGTTATCAGGACATTCAGAGATATTTTGTAAAAGACCCACTGACCATTCAAAACCCATACCACTTTCCGACACACAGTTATGAAAAAAGAATTAGATCACTAATGATGACTTCATGAAGCCATTCGATCAATTTGGCAAAAATCAAAACAAAGCAAAGCAAAGCAAATAAAAACACATCTAAAAGTACCTTGTGTCGTGGTCGCAACCGTTGTCGTGGTACTTCTCGACGTCGTGGGTGTGGTGGTAGTTTTGGTGGTGGTTGTAGATGACGGAACGGAAGTAGTAGTTACGCTTGGAGATGTGTTGGTGGTTGTTGTCCTAGCAGGCACAGAAGTTGTAGTTGACGTAGATGGAGCAGCAGAAGATAAAGTCGGCAACGTCGTCTCCAGACAGATGTATGCAGTTGCTGCTTCAATAGGAACACACGTCTCCGTCGGGGCGCACGGGCGCCGTCCACATTGTCCATTGTGAGGCTAGAAAATAGAATGTTGTCAATGTCAATTCTGGACGCACCATTCTGCTTTAGCTCTCCTACAAGTTCCTCGTTGTGGACGGGTACCATGGTTCTCTACTCCTCATAGGTATTCCTTATCAGTGAATTAAGTTGTGCGTCATAGAACAGTAAAACACAGAGGAGCTCAGTTTGTAACACTGACACCCTTGATAATCTCATGGCTGCATTTCCACATCTGAGAAAATAGTTCTTAGATTATTCAGGTCATATCAGGGATTGGAACCGTCATCAGTGGGTTCTTGCTTGCAGGATCCACTTGGAGTTCTGTCGCCATAGTTCGTGATACGATGATTCTCATGTGTCAGTCAAAAGATTTCAAGAAGTAGAACTGTGAGTGGATGGTGGGGTCTTCCTACTTTTCCAGCACCTATTGTTTCAGGTGTAAAATCACCCATGCGTGCTCATTGGTCAGACAATAGGGGGATTAGGAGAGCATCTCTAACAGAGAATTTTAGTCAATTATGTTGTAGGAGTGAACACTTTTCATTTAGTGCTGGATCAATTGGTGAACTTTATTTAAACTAAAATGATAACATTGATAAAATTGGAACATGGGAAGTTGATTGCCTGATTAATTGGTGAACTTTATTTGAAATGTCAAGCTCTATACAATACAACCATGCCTTTGATTGAGAGAAGAGACCACCGATATGTAACAAATGTTATTTGTCAAATATGTCATCAAAATAAATGACATATGCCGGGCAATGATAATAAATATTAGATAAAATATCTGTAAAATGTTGGACATGTGTTTTATGTTCTGAATCACCTTAATGAGGGGGACCTGCTCAGAGAGCATCAATGGCAAATATCTTTGAGACGGTCCCTGCTACTAAACAAACCATGCTAGGGATTAACGGTTTGCCAGCTGCTGGACAAGTAGGAAGTCACCAGCTTGGTGCCCACAAAACAAGATCCTTGGACACATGAATATAATAAACAAGAATTGTCACTACAGGGTAGGAACAGGGATAAACGAAATTGTCAAAAAGCACAATAATATGTGAGGTTCCGATTTTACATGACAGTTACCATTGTTAGAAAAAAATATATTACTGAAAAGAACATAATTACATACCACCCTCGATAATCTCCAGGGTATACGTTACTTCACTCTCCACTCTACCCTTGATGCATCCACGGCTTGGCCCGATAATTATATTACCCCCCTTTGCTGGCTCCGCATTCTCACAGTAGCCAATCAGCTAAGCCGCCGTTACCTCCGAGCTTGCCAGTGTCAACAAAGATAGCGGTCGCGGTCGCGAAGGTTTGTTCGCAGTACCACTCAGATTTTTTGTGATATAATACAGACAAATTGACAGATCTGAAACTTTCAAAAAAAAAATGAAAGAACTCCTCCTACATCTTTCAGAGTACCCCTGCATCAATTGTGTTGCCAAGTTTAAACGGTTAGAATATTTAAAAAGCGAAAGTAAGTTGTGATTGGTTCGCTCAACTTCCCAGCGTTGACCCCTGATTGGATAAAACGCCAACCAAGGGAGGTAATAAAATCATCGTACCAAGCCGTGGATGCATCCAGGGTATAGTGGAGAGTGAAGTAAGGTATACCCTGGAGATTATCGAGGATGCATTAAATGTAAATGCAGTGTTTGCTCGACGCACTGCAGCAATATTGCCCTTGACAATCGATCAGTGTACACTTGACATTTCATTCTCAGCTCCCTGGGGAAGGTACAGCCAAATCTGCCAGCGAAGCTGAATAAGGTTAACACACACTTTACCGTCTCATATTTTCGGGTACCGCATTTACATTCACATATTTCGAACAAAGTCACATGCCCGAGGTTACCTGCTCTATAACAGCGGATTATAAATAGCAGAGTCTGGACCAGACAATCCACTGATTTACATCATGGGTATCGATCTACCCAATTGGGATACGAAGACATGTGTCAACCAAGCCAGCGGGCCTCACCACCCGGTCCCGTTAGCCGCCTCTTACAACTTATATAATGAGCATACATGTACACAATGGGGAGACTGGCGTTACGCCAAACCACGCGATGCTAGAATTGTACATCAGCATCTAAATCAGGGCAATGTTACCCTGGACAACAAGAACCCCTGATTATATAACAATCATTGAACACGTCTGGGATGAAATGGAGAGACGTTTACGACGTCATCCGAATCCTCCAACAACGATGTAGGAACTCCGCCAAATTCCTGCTGAACGATCTTCTCCAGCACTTTACCCGACGTTTAATGGCTTCAATGTGGCAAAGGTGCCAGGCTAGCATTAAAGCGCAACATGGACACACTCGCTACTGACAGTGTGAACTTGCTTGTGAACATTTGAAGTGTGATCTTGCGTTGTGGCGTCATTTATACACTGAGAGAAAAGAAAATAAGGGATCACATGAAAACACAAGTGTTCCTTTTTTCAGGTTTCTTCATAAGCTATGCGATACAAAGCTTGTGAAGAAACCTTGTGAAAAAAATAAGGAACACTTGTTTTATGGTGTTCTGCTCTGTTCTGACCAATTGCGAAGCTCGATGCTCATGATGCTGATCACTGGATTGTCTGGTCCACACTGGAATATTTACAGGCCGCCGCCATATAGCTGGAATATTGCTGAGTGCGGCGTTCAACAACAAGCCAACCAACCAATCTGTTCTTATGGACTGTTGATCGTTACAATACCTTGGAATATGTGTCTTTTCTATGTAATAACATTTAATTTGCACATGATTAACTCTCTTGTTTGTCGCACTAAATTTTACCTTTGAGTATATGTCGCATATCCTATAAACATTCTATTTACCTCAGGTTTTGAGAAGCCGGAGTCAGTAGATGAAGGTTGTGTTGAAAGAAGGTGACAAGTTCTGGTAGCAGCATCCCAACGATACCCCTCGCACTGTGACGTGTAGACGCACAGCCGGTCACACACTCTCTGTGACGACACAGCCTTCACGAGGAACACATCTGAACCCAACGTTACCTGGAGCTGGCAGCACACGACGTACATCACCGTCAGCAACAACGACACCATGCACTTCATGTTTGGACGTCTGAAGCAACACAGACACAGTTTGTAAGTAAGACGCCATGAGAAGGTTCTCGCTAATACTTGATAAGAAGGGCGTAGGGATAGCCTGGTGGTTAAAGCGTTCGCTCGTCATACCGAAGGCCCGGGTTCGATTCCCCACATGTGTACAATGTGTCAAGCTCATTTCTGTCCTCCGCCGCCATATTGCTGGAATATTGCTAAAAGCGGCGTAAAACCCCCTTCCCTCAATCACTCACTTGATCAGCTTCAACTTAAACGTATGAGTAATAATCTATACATAATTTAGTTTTATGTTTGCTTGTATGTTGTTCAACGCCTCTCTCAGCGCAATATTCCAGCTATATGGCTACGGCCTGTAAATAATCGAGTCTGGACAAGACAATCCAGTGATAAACTCCATGAGCATTAATCTACGCAATTGGATTCGATGACATGTGTCAACCAAGTCAACCGATCCCGTTAGTCGCCACTTACGACAAGCATGGGTCACTGAGGTGAGGTGAGGTGAAATTGGGTTTAACGTCGTACTTGAGAATATTACGCTCATATGACGACGTGCATGCGTGTGTATGTGTATGTGCGGCTGCTTGTACTAGCCCAGACTTAAGCTGGTTTTATAGTGCTAGCTCACTGAGATACCATGCCGCCGTGAAGCATGAATACCCCACTCAGACACAGTATACTACTCCGAGCCGACCAGTCCTTTTTGTACCCATTAATGCCGAACGCTAGGCAGAGACCAACAAGTACCAAATTTTAACGTCTTTTGGTATGACGCGGTCGGGGATCGAACCCGCAACTTTCCGCTGTCTGGGCGGACGCTCTAACCACTACACCACGGAGGCGGTCCCAGGTCAACGGGATATGTGAGCGTCATAAAACACAATCTTCCCTTTGCGAAAGCAGCTAGTGTGCAAGGAGTTTTGTGTATTTGTTGTTAACTCCGCATAAGTTATATGCCATCTATACTAGGCACATTAAGAAACTGTGCATACCAAAATTTAAAATCTAAATTTCTCAAACCTGTGTAGACACATAAGGATTTAAACTCAGAGATTAGTGACATGCATGCACGTGCCACGTTCCGTGACGTCAGTAATACGTTGCAATACGTTGTTGCACGTGCATTCCGGGAAAGAGAAACAGAGCAAATGAATGCCACACAATACTGTCACTTTGGAAAGCCCAACCCCTGCTCTTGCGATCGTTCAAACAATTAAACCGCTATTGAAACGCATAGCATGCCAAGGCTCACGTCTGCACAACGTCATGAGGCCATTGGGATGGTCCGTGGGGGAATGTCTCAACGACAAGTGGCTGCACATTTCCACTGCCACCGGAACACCATTTCTGCACTGGTGAGACGCTACCAGAACACAAATGACGTCATCGATCGGCCACGTTCTGGACGTCCACGTGTAACAACGCTAAGGCAGGACATATGGATAAGGTGACCCATCTTCGCCACAGCTTTCAGACTGCAGTGATGGCTGCCCGAACCATCCCAGGACTTCGCCGTATCCACCCCAACACAGTTCGACAACGTTTACGTCATCACGGGATCAGACCACGACGTCCCGCCATACGCCCTATCCTGACACAACGTCATCGACAAGCTCGCCAAATGTGGTGCCGAAATCATGTCCGCAGACCCTTGTTTTGGTGGAGAAATGTTGTTTTTACATATGAGTCCAGGTTTAACATTTCCCTTAGTGATGGACGTCAAGGTGCCTATAGACGCGTGGGAGAACGTTATGCACAGGCCTGTGTCTTGGAGAGGAATCGCTTTGGTGGTGGTTCCGTGATGATTTGGGGTGGAATAACAGCACGTCAAAGAACTCCTTTGGTGATTGTTCAGGGCAAATTAACTGGTGTGGGCTACAGGGATCAGATTCTTCGACCTGTGGCAATTCCTTTTCTACAACGTCATGGCCCTGGGTTAACATTCCAACAGGACAATGCCCGCCCTCATACGACAAGGGTTGCTATGGATTTCTTGCAACACCACAACGTTGACTTACTGCCTTGGCCTGCAAATTCACCGGATCTCTCCCCGAAAGAGCATGTTTGGGACGAGATGGATCGACGTCTACGCCGTCTTCCTCATCCGCCAGATAACGTCCTTGACCTTGCAACAGAACTTGAGAGAATCTGGCGTGACATCCCACAAGCCTTCCTTGCACGTTTGATAGGCTCCATGCGTCGTCGATGCACTGCTGTTCTCAAAGCTGATGCTGGACATACTCGTTATTGAGCTTGTGAAATGAAATTCTCCCGACTTGTTATGATCTCATGATCCCTCCATTAAAGTTTATATGTGCCTTTGACATTGTTATCGTACTTATCAACTGGGATAATATTTTGACAATGCACAGTTTCTTTATGTGGCTAGTATATATGGCGGCGGTCAGTAGATAATCAAGTCTGGACCAGACAAGTAAGTGATCAACAGCATGAGAGTCCCGATCTACAACAGTTGGGATACGATGAGTTATGTCATCCCAGTCAGAGAGCCTGACCACCCGATCCCGTTAGTTGTCTCTTACGACAAGCATTGGATACTGAAGATCAATTCTAACGGGTTGAGGGTTATTGACAGCCTATAATGTAACAACTTGAACTTTAACCACATAATTGTTACTCGGCATTGAAGTCAAAACATGAGTTGTATACTCTCCCAAAAAAGAAACGCATATTGGAATTTCAACTGTATTTTTATGTTTATTTTGAAACATCTTGTAGGCTTTATGCGTCAATGAAATATAGCGAAATTGCACACTGGGAATTCAGATTTATCCGTCTTTGGCACCAACTCGAGGAAAGTCAGTCTGAGTGTCACATGGAGACGTGTGGTGGCGCTGAAGTCAATACCTCGTGTGACCACCGTTGGCATCCAGAACTGCACGGCATCGCCTCGGCATCGAAGGAATAAATCTAGTGTTGCCCAGTCGCAGCCCACTCTGCCTGTAGTGCATGTGAGAGTTGCTGAAGTGTCTGGGGCTGAGGGTTACGGCGTCGCACCCGTCTGTCCAGGGCATCCCACAGATGTCCGATCGGGTTTAAGTCCGGTGATCTTGAGGGCCAGGGGAGCACATTGATGTTGTGGTTTTGGAGGATGTCTCTAGTGTGACGTACTGTGTGGGGCCTGGCATTGTCCTGTTGAAACAACTCCCTCTGGCGATCAATGATTGGAAGGAGGTGTGGGCGTAGGATTTCGTCACAGTACCGTTGAGCTGTCAGGTTGCCCTGGATCATCACCAAATCACTTCTCCTACGACAGGTGATCGCTCCCCACATCATAGCACTGTCCCGGTCGAATCTGTCCACCTGGGGAACGCAAGCGTCGGCGAAACGTTCACGTCGACGTCTGTACACCCGCATTCTTCCATCGCGTCGTTCCAATAGAAATCGTGATTCATCACTGAACCATATTCTACGCCAATTCGGTAGGTTCCAGGCCTGAACGTTGGTGCACCATTGAACTCGATGTCGACGATGCTGTTGTCGAATCACAGGGCCAAAATAGGGTCTTCTGGCACGTAAACCAGCCTCTCTCAACCTGTTCCTGACGGTCTGTGCAGAAAGCCTCCCCAATCCGGGTATTTGTCGAGCGGTACATGTCGCCGTAGCTGTTCGATCACGCAGGTGATGTTCCCGGATGTAGCGATCCTGCGCCGCAGTGTTCGCTCGAGGTCGCCCACTACGAGGGGCATCTGCTACCGAATTCTGCCGGCGATACCTCTCCCAGAGCCGTGAAATGGTGCTTTGGTGAACATTCATGCGTCGGGCAACTGCACGTTGCGACTGGCCAGCTTCAAGCAAACCAAACGATATGACGGTTGGCTTCACTTAGACGTGGCATTTTGCGATCGTCAACAATATTCCAAATACAGTGAATAATCTACAGACAGTGATCAACCTTTTATACCAATCATTGAGACTATCTCACCCCCTAACTTTCACGTACATTGCATGTGAATTGTGTATTCTGTGACACTACACGCCGAAATGGAAAATCCTGCTGTTAAATACGGGTATTTTACGGATGGTGCGTTTTGTTGTGATGTTTCGAAACATAAACACAATAGGACTCATAAACAGAGCAAAACCTTTTGTAAAATGAATCACATTTTAATTCATTGCTACATGAAATTGCTATTTTCATGATGCTTTTCTTTTTTTGGAGAGTATATATCACAGAATCATCATTTGCTTCCTGTTCACTAGTTGACAAAATTCGGTACAGTTGTCTCCAAGTTTGATGTTAGAACGCGGCAATTTGCAATCCCAATCATGTCTCCTGTACCGTAGATGATGCCTGCACCAAGGAAGGACGTACCTGTCGCTGACGTTAGAGCACAGTTAGACGTATTTTCCGGATGTTGTGCTCCCTCAGTCGGTTCCGTACAATCCTGGAACTGATTGGACATATGCCAGGAATAGTCCGAGCAGTCAAACTGGCAGTCTGGAATCGATTCCTTAGATGGGTCAGCCGAATGCGGTTTTCTTCCAGACGTGGCTTCACGCGTAAACGGCCGGTGCGACGCAAATCTCTTGTGTTTCTATAATGTTGAAAACGTCTCCACAGAGATGAGATCATTGGTCAATGGATACCAAAATGTCTGGCCACTTCATTTTGGGCCATTCCAATCTCCAGCATACCCACGGCGCAGAGACGCTGATTTTAGTAAACCGTGGCATGACGTACGCGCAGTTTACATTGAAATTAACGTGTTTTCCGTAACATTCAGAGGCTACGGAATAATCGACCATTCTTCAATATTCCAATATCAGGCGTGTGAACCGCAGGTGTCACAAAACAGGCGAAAAGTGAGTAAGTTCAATGTAGACAAAGTGCACGTGCCACGAGAGATACGTGAAATCAAATGTCATGTAAAAGGCCTTGTTACATGTTTATTTGGGGTTGTTTTTAAAACCTTACAAATAACAGTTAGTTTATACAGTTTCATGTTATGCACAGTTACTTTTTCCGTTAATATGCACTCTGGCATCAAGTACAGAAATAAAGACAAATTAAAACGAAGATGTGTGCAGTAAACTATGCTTGTAATAAATTGACGTCTTCGGTCGGCGGATGACGTCAGCAGAAATCCTGTTCCAAAAGTCCTGTCGTTTCACTGGTACACGCCAACTCAGCTGACGTCTCAAGATGATCCCACAGATGTTCAATGGTGTTACATCTGGGGAAGGCGCTGGCCAAGGCAATACGTTGACGTTAATATTGTGCAGGTATTCTCGAACAATTCTGGCGGTGTGAGGCCTTGAGTTGTAGTGCTGTCAAATTATTCGTGTTGGCTGTTGTCGAGTAAAGGGCACCACAATGGGCCTCACCACTTCATCCCTGTATCGCTGGGCATTGAGATTTCCTCGGATGATAACACGTCTCGTTGTTCTCTGGCCACAAATTCCGCCTCACACCACGAGGTCTCCTCCAACGAACGGCGCCAGTCGCAATCCTCTACGTCGAAAAGCTTCGTTTCTGAACGACTTTCATCTGTAAAGAGTACGCCTCCCCGTCACGTCACTGCCACCTGCCACAGTTCGTACCCATTACCGTTTGCGTTGACGGTGTAGACGGTTCAAGTTCATTCCAGGGAAGGGGCGGTAGGCTCTTATACCAGCAATACCAGTCGTCGAAGGACTGTTCGTCCGTTGATGGCGTGTCATAGTGCTGTCGCCGTCACGAATTTGTTCCGGAGGTGGATCTACCGGATGTAGCGGTGTTCGGCGGGTGTCGTGACTCTTGGTCCTCCCGATCTTGGGCGGTCTTGGGTCTGGCCTGTTTGCTGGTAGCGGTTTATCAATTTGCTGATGTGACCTGGCTGCAGTTGAAGGCTCTTGATAGCTGAAGTAGAAAAGCCCCCCATATTTGCCATACCAATCGTCCTGTCGCGTTACGCTTGCGTAAGTCTTGGTATACACACGCATTTATGATGGTGTTTTTTTCGGACGATTTGGACCCAAATGTCCCAAATTTACGTTTTTCACGTTTTGAAAAGTGCACGATTCGTACCAAGTTTACGGATGGATGTGCTGTTATCGGGACCATGTTGCGTTTTGGCGAAAGTCTCCAGCTTAGGTTCAAACCCGTACCCATTATGTGGGGGGATTGTGTGGGTGTGGTGTGGGTGAGTGTGTGTTGAGGTGTGGATGTGGGGGTGTGAGTACGTGTGTGGGGATGTGGGAGTGTGCGGGTGAAGGTGTGTGTGGTGTGTGTGTGGATGGGTGTTGGTGGGAGGGTGGATTGGGGATGTGAGTGTGTGTGTGTGTTTTGGGTGTGTGGATGGGTGGGTGGGTGTTGGGGGGTGTAGGTGTGTGGTCGGGGATGTGAGTGAGTGAGTGTGTGTGTAAGTGTGAGGGCCTGTGTGGGGGGTGTTGGTAGGTGGTGTGTGTGTGAGTGTGAGTGGGGATATATGTGTGTGGGTGTGTGTTGTTGTGTGTTGTGTGTGTGGGTGTGTTTGTGGCCGGGTGGGCTGGTGTGTGGGTGTGTGTTGGGGGAATGGGTGTTTGTGGAAGTGTGAGGGTGTGTGGGTGTGGGGGGAGGTGTGTGTGGTGTCTGCGTGGAAGTGTGTGTGGGGTGTGTGTGGTTGTGTGGTGTGATGGTGTGAGTGGGTGTGGGTGGGTGTGTGGGTGTGTGTGTGGGGGTGATGTGCGTGGGTGGATGGGTGGTGTGTGCGTGTGGCTGGGTGGGTCTGGGTGTGTGCGTATGGGGGATGTGTGTGTGTGGAAGTGTGTTGGTGTGAGGGGAGTGTGGGTGTGGAGGTGTGTGTGTGGAGTTTGTGGAAGTACATGTGTGTGTGTGGGTGTGTGTGGGGAATGTTTGTGTGCGGAAGTGTTTGGGGGGGGTGTGTGGGTGTGTGTGTGTGGATGTGTTTGCGTGTGTTGATGAGGGTGTGGTTGTGTGGGGTTATGGGTGTAGGGGCGACGTGTGTGGAAGTGTGTAGGGGGTGTAGGTGTGTATGTGTGTGATTGTGGTCGTGTGTAGGTGTGGGATGTAGATGTGGGTGTGGAGGTGTGTGTGTGTGTGTGTGTGTGTGTGCGCGCGTGGGTCGGTGGGTGCTGTGTGCGAGTGTGCGTGTGTTTGTGGCTGGGTGTGTTGGGGGTAGGGGTGTATGTGTGGATGGGTGTGGGTTTGGGGAGTGTTTTTGTGTGGGTGTGGGTGTGCGTGGTTGGATGTGTTTGTGAGTGGTTGGGTGTGTGTGGTGTGTGTGGTGTTTGTGTGTGTGTGTGTGTGTGTGTCTTTTTGGGTGGGTGGTTGTGTGGGGAGATGTGTGTGGGGATGTATGTGTGTGTGTTGAAGTGTGTGTGTGTGTGTGTGTGTGTGGAGGTGTGAGTGAGTGTGTGTGTATGTGGTGTGTGTGTTTGGCTTGGTGGATGGATGTGTTGTGGGTGTTATGTGTGAGAGAGAGAGTGTGTGTGTGTTTGTTTGATGTGTGTGTGGTGTGTGTATATGTGTGTGTTTGGGTGTATGTGTGGTGTGTGTGGTGGGTGTGGTGGGTGTGTGAGGGTATGTGGGTGTATATATATGGGGGGGGGTGAGTGTGAGGGGATGTGTGTGTGTGTGCGTGGAAGTGTGCGTGGGTGTGGATGTTTTGGTGTGTGGGTGTTGATGTTTTGGTGTGGGGGTGTGTGCGTGGGTGTGTCTGTGTTGGTGTCGATATATGTGTGTGTGTGGTGTGTTTGTTTGTGTGTGTGTTTGTGCTCGGGTGTTTGTGTTTGTGTGGGGGTGGGGTGTGTGTGTGTGAGTGTGTGTTGATGTTTGGGTGGGTGGGTGTTTGGGTGGGTGTGTGGGTGTGGGTGTGGGTGGAGTGTGGGTCTCACGCAATTTACTGGATATTGCAAACTCACCGTATTTATGACTGTAATCTCAGTGATGGAGATTAGGTTTAGCAATATTGTAGCAATATCACGTCGGAGACATCAGAAAAGGGCTTCAAATATTGTACCCATTTGGAGAATCGAACCAAGGTCTTAGGTTGTTGTTAAACGCCGCACTACGCAATATGCCAGCTATATGGCGACGGTCTGGAAAAATCGACAAGACAATCCAGTGATCAACAGCATGAGCATCGATCTACGCAATTGGGATACGGTGACATGTGCCAACCAAGTCAGCGAGCCTGACCACCCGATCAGGTTAGCCGCCTCTTACGACAAACCTGGGTTGCTAAAGACCAATTCTTACCCGGATCTTCACGGGTGTTGCGTTACGAGCGAACGCTTTAACCACTAGCCTACCTAACAGAACCTCCAAAGATCGAGCTTTGTGAGCTAAGTAGACAAGTAGTCTCCAGTTCAAGGCCACAGGCTGTCTGGGTAAACTATCAGAAAATTGTGACTGTAATTACCATAACAACGCGATCCGAATGTTTGTTATCATAAAACAAAAGAGGCATTACAAAACAGGCAACCATTATTAACAAAACCGTAACGAAAAACAATGTGAAAGAGGATTACTTACATTGAAACTGTGTTTTTTCATACAGAGACCAGAGTCGTACATAGACAGGGAACAGACAGCCCAAACATTTGTAACACCAGCAATGATTAACTGGAACTGAACAGCCGTTGTTATGATCCCAAACATTTGTAATGATATCAGGGAATCTTAGCCATTAATGATGCAAAAGCAACAGCCAGTTATGTGATGTTCTTTTATGTTGTTTATCCGAAATTAATACCACACTAAACAATAAGTCGCATTTATTCTTTACTTCGATCGTCTCTGCGTGAATAAATGGTGCGAAAGCTTTGTAGCTCAACGTAGCGTAGCGTATGCAAGATAGAATGCAGTTCTCGCATGTACCGATACTGAATAGATTCTGCATACTTTGAGGCTGCAGGAGAAACATGCTATGCTGTATATACTACGGTTATAACGAACATGCTATGCAGTATATACTACGGTTATCACGAACATGCTATGCAGTATATACTACGGTTATCACGAACATGCTATGCAGTATATACTACGGTTATCACGAACATGTTATGCAGTATATACTACGGCTACCACGAAGATGCTATGCAGTATATACTACGGTTATCACGAACATGCTATGCAGTATATACTACGGTTATCACGAACATATTATGCAGTATATACTACGGTTATGACGAACATGCTATGCAGTATATACTACGGTTATCACGAACATATTATGCAGTTTATACTACGGTTATGACGAACATGCTATGCAGTATATACTACGGTTATCACGAACATGCTATGCAGTATATACTACGGTTATCACGAACATGCTATGCAGTATATACTACGGTTATCACGAACATGCTATGCAGTATATACTACGGTTATCACGAACATGCTTATAACGAACCGGCCGGTTCTTGGTCAAGGTCAAGATTTGTAGAAGGAAATAGTATCACACAATACCATGGCCTACCTCTTTTATTGTTGCTGATATTTGTTTATTCTATACATGTGCAGTACACTAAGGTTACAAAGAACCCAAAGGGGCCAGTAATTTTAGTTCGCTATATGCTAAGCTCGTTATACGCCTTAAGAATAAAATATACAAGTGGCCAGGGCAGTTGGTTACATCCGTCAGTTCGTTAAAAGCGGGGTCGTTATAAACGTAGTTATCGGTAGTTCCAACTCGAGGTTCAAATATTCGAGAGAGAAAAACATAAACAAAACATGAAAGCAGATGTCATATGAATATCTCAGAGAAAACAACATGTGAAATGTTGGGCATCCCCATTCCATTTTCACTGTGCAATATGGGGATAGGACGATAAATCAGAACTTGTATCTGTAACACCTGTTGTGTTCCCTTTCATCCTTACCTGTTTCCTAAAGCATGATCTTGTGTTCAAAGAGCGATGTATTAGTAATATGCTGACTTCGAGACGACCAATGCTTGTATTACTGTTTGCTTGGTTATTCCCGAATGCAGGTCGCCAGGCACCTTCCAGATTAAAATAAGGTTTTAGTGACCGTACATGTACATTGAAAAGTAAATCTTCAATTCTGATCAGTTGTGACCCGTGAAGGTCCGGGTAAGAATTGATCTTCAGCAACCCATGCTTGTCGTAAGAGGCTACTAACGGGATCGGGTGGTCAGGCTGGCTGACTGGGTTGACACATGTCATCGGTTCCCATGTGTGTAGATTAATGTTCATGATGTTGATCCCCGGATTGTCAGGTCCAGATCCGATTATTTTCAGACCGCCGCCATATGGTGCGGCGTAAAACTAAACTCACTCACTCACTCACTCACTACTACTGCTTCGTGTTCAAAGTTTCTTGTTTAACGTAGCAATGTTCCAGCTATATGGTGTCGGTCTCTAAATAGTCGAGTCTGGACCAGACAATCCAGTGATCAACAGCATGAGCATCGATCTGCGCAATTTGGAACCAATGACATGTGTCAACCAAGTCAGCGAGTCTGATCACCCGATCCCGTTAGTCGCATGGCTTGCTGAAGATAAATTCTAACCCGAATCTTGACGCACCTAACGCCAAGAGGGTTGACCGTCAAATGAGTAAGTGAGTTTAGTTTTACGCCGCACAGGAATATTCCAGCTATATGGCGGTCCGTCAAGTAACAATCGGACAAACCAAAGTTTTCTCCTTTGTCGTGGAGGGCAACACTTTACAGCTCTCATTATTGCATTTAAACCAGACATATATCAGTAATCCGTAATTATATCTATGTCTTCAGTATACATCATACTGTACATAGCGAGTAATTGAGTTTAGGCTAACACTATGTGAACACTCTTCAGTTATGTCTGCTTGACATGGGAGGAAAACCCGGAGTCATCAGCTACTACAGACGTTTATCAGCTTAGTGAAACCCACGTACGAGAACGGGGGCTGACAAATCTGGAAACTTACGGGAAGACCTGCTTTGCTATAATTAAAGTGTAATTCATGAAGATTGTATCATGTAATCTGGTGATTATCTAACTGTGGAGAGCTTTGGGACAGGTTTGTCAAGCGTTCCGGTATCGCCCACTCACATAAACACGATAAAGAAGTAGTGTTTCTTTGTTGCCAGACGTCGCACAAACCTCCTGCCACGAGACGGTATCCTGTACAGAACTATTAATTATAAAACCGTAAACAATCTTAAGTTTCTCACCTGCATCCCGATCCACCAGGGGATCTGTCTTATAATCTGTCGTAACTCTATAGTTTACCAGAGGCGTGCGAATGTCGAATGTAGCAGCGCTATGAACGTTTTGTATTGGAACTCAAGGTACCTGCCGTGTGTATATATTTTTCAAAGGCATATGATCCCAGCTCTGTGTGGGACTTTAGGGAATAACTTCAATTCCGACAACGAAAAAAACATTTTAATGAAAAAAATATTGCACAGCTATGAATAAAAAATGACGAATCCCTGAAGATGACGTTAATAGTGGAAGCACGTTGTCTGTGGAGGGAAGATTTACAAATATTACACACAGGAGTTTTATTGGTTATGTTCTTCATGCATCTTGGAATTCCCACAAGACCTATCGCTCACTTTTAACTCCTTAACTTGTCATGACTGTATGGCCAAGTCTTGAATATGTTCTCAATATCATTTACTAACTATTTGTCAAGTCTGTCAAAAAATGTAATGCGTGAACACACATCGTCAAATCATTTAAATTCAAACACTATAGTTATTGTGAAATCAATAGCTTTTTATCTGAAATATGCATCCAATGCCAAATAGAAAATGATATGTTTACCAGCACCACGAGCAACAAGAAGCAACTGTAATTGTACCATTGGCCTCAGGGGTAACATTACTGAATAAAATCGATCTATCATTCGACCACACTGTTGACATGAATCTCATGAATAATACGGTGAAATATCGTCATTATCTAAACGCCTTCACAGACGTGTATTCCAGATAAGATGTCGTCAAAAACAGGAAACTGCATCTAATTAATAGATGAACATAATTTCCTCGATACTCATTAATCAGATGAACCTTCATTCAATTCACAAGTGACTACAGAAAATATACAATTATTTTCAAGGACGGAAAGCGTGTATTATATTTCGTAAGTGTATTATGGGACGCTGCAACGATTGGGTAGAGAAATACTATTGTGCCATTGTATTCCTTACATGAAACTATCAGTGTATAACATTAGCATTCAGATATTGTTATACAATAAGATAAAATGCCCAAACATGACCGTGCTGGTGTAATATGACTGACTGAGTTTTGGTTTTACGCCGCGTTTAGCAATATTCCAGCAACATCACGGCGGGGAACACTAGAAATGGGCTGCACACATTGTACCCATGTGGGGATTCGAACACGGGTCTTCGGCGTGACGAGCCAACGCTTTAACCACTAGGCTACCCCACGGCCCCTGTAATATGACAAGAGATGTTGCTGTGTTCGTTGTGACCATTTGTTTGTTTGTTGCTTAGTTGCACTTAGTAATATTCCACCTAAATGGCGGCGGTCTGAAAGTAATCCAGCCTATACCAACAATCCAGTAATCAACAGCATGAGCATCGATCTACGCAATAAGCTCGGGACAGTGAACATTAATTTCACTCGGGGCATATTTCCCGTAATATCTCGCACCTCGTGGGTTATTCTATTTATTACCCATTCTGTAATTAAACCGTGAAACCAGTATTTATGAACTCCAAGCCGCATCTTCTTATGTAACTGTTAACAACTAAATCAGCTGATCTGTATTAATGCGCGGATGAAACCAAACTGCTCAAGCTTAATGGAATCGCATTCGAGCCACAAAATAGTTCTGTAGAAAACGGTATGAAAACAGTGTGCGAAATATTTTCCAGATTTTGCTAGCCAGAAAGTTATTAGCCCACAAAATAATTCACAATTTGAATGTAGAAACTAAGCAAATAAGCAGGTTACAAAAATAGATGAGAATAAGATATTGTCGGCATGACACGGGTTTCATCAATAAGCTGCTAATATGATGAACATTTTTATCAGGCTCTAATCTTGCATGATTTAGATGTGGATTATAATTTAACAAGTCAAAGAGACTGATATATGTACAAAATGATCCAATGGAAATTCACATTTACATTCACATTTACTGGTCCGATTGGATTTTCACTAGCCACGGGCCAGTGGCTATTTCGCACACGGTATGAAAAACAAATACAATTCAACAGGTTCCAAAATCATTTCATGGCGATTTTACGAACCTCTCTCTCTCTCTCTCTCTCTCTCTCTCTCTCTCTCTCTCTCTCTCTCTCTCTCTCTCTCTCTCTCTCTCTCTCTCTCTCTCTCTCTCTCTCTCTCTCTCTCTCTCTCTCTCTCTCTCTCTCTCTCTCTCTCTCTCTCTCTCTCTCTCTCTCTCTCTCTCTCTCTCTCTCTCTCTCTCTCTTTATGTTTAGCTTCAACGAGTACAATTACATATTCACTGTTTAGTCGTAGATCCCAAATGTGTCGATCCAGTTTACTCGTGTCAGAAGGTGGGCGACCGTTGTTGGATGCAAAACAGCAAAAACCTGCCAATTCTGTTTAACTTTAACTTGTAAAACAGT